TATATCAATAAAATATTTCCTTCGAGGATTGGACAAGTGTATTATATCTGAGGAGGATTACTTTGAAGGGAACAAAATAGAAATTAGAATAAATATAAGTAAATATAAAGTGAGGTGAATGAAAATTCACCTTACTTTTTGAACAGACCTCGTAAACAACCAATATGGGATAGACAGTACTGGTACGAGTAGGAAAGAGTTGTTCTCAAGAGGGTAGGAGATTTATCCCCACTCTTATGGAACCCTGTAATGTACAAGTTATTATGTCTTCTGGACCATAATAGACACAAAGTAGTGGGCTACTCAGAGATGACTTAGAGAGAACATCCTGAGAACAGGCTCGGCAGAAACACCCGTTATACAGACAGGTCAATTACTGAACGAGGAACCGGAGGTGGAATTTACGGTGCGGATTGAAATCTTCATTTCAGTTATCCACTCGGTCAGTACATATCAGTTTATCAGGCTGAAGTGTATGCACTCTTGTAATTTGCAAGGAACATCAAATTGAGGCCTCATTGAAATGTGTGGATCAATATTTTAAGATAGCCAGGCTGTCACAAAAGTAACATCAAAAGACTGATCTGGAAATGCTGTGAAGAACTGAGGAAACTGGCGGTTAGGAATAGATTCACTATATAGTAGGTTCCAGGACACTTAGGCATCGCAGGCAATGAAAAAGCTGATGAGTGTACCAGACATAGATCATCAACTTCATATATAGGCAAGTGGTAATCTCACATTAAAGTGTGTTTTTCGAATACTTCATATATAGGCCTTAAACCAGCTGCGGAGGTACCAAAGTTTTTGCTATGGAAACAGATCGTAAAGTGAGTCTACAAGAAACAGTACTGGGAAAATATTCCAGGGAACACACACCGGAAAACCTTTATAAATGAACCGCTTGAGAAGAGAATCAACAAAGCAGAGGACGGCTCAGAACAATCAGAATGCTACTCACTGGACATTGTGGATTGAGAGAACACCTGAACAAAATAAGGCTGTGCAACTTTAACTACAGGCAATGCAACAAACAGACAGAGTCAGCTCGTCATATTTTATGTAAATGTGAGGCATAGGATTCCAGAAAGCAAACAATTAATGGACAACCTAAATTATGTCCAGAAGAATATGACAAGAATATACAGCAATGGACCTGTAAAAACTAGTACAGGGCACAAGATTATTGGAATGTGACATGAGGAAGATGGGAAAAAACGTAATGAGCTTATGAAGCTACAGTATTTTTCGGAGACATAGAATATACAAGTTTAACTTGGGAGCCGTCTGCATTTTTCAATCTGTTGTTCCATAATGTATTGTATCTTCATATATAATTGTGTTGTTTCATAACATTCAGAGGAAAATTTAATTTCTATTCTTGTATCTGTTCTTTCACAACTGATAATTTATTAGGAAATACTATATTTCATTTTTCGAAAGTGATTTGAGGTCAATTTTTACTTATATAACAAATAATACAGAATCAATTGAAGTTACCATGAGTGCTGGGGTGTATGCAAGATTTCCTCCAATGGCTGTGAAATTGAAAGGAGACACAGCTGCAATAAAACCATCTATCCCACGATACCTCATTGAGTTTTTAGTTATTTTTGGATTTTCAGAAATTGGTTGATATTTTGTCGCTTCCTTCAAAAAATAAGCATTTAATCTGAAAAAGAAAATCCATTAATCATTTGTATTTTGGAGTACAATAACAATTGGAAAGTATCAACAATCTTTCTAAGAATGATTATTCATCTTCATAATGTTAAAAAAATCTTCTACTATTTTCTTCAGGATGCTCTACTCAGTAGTTAAAAAAATAATTTTGAGTTTTAAATATAGGAAAAAGTAAGAAAAAATTATTCTACCTGAAAAAGTCAATGAGTTCTGCTGCCGAGTCAATCTCAGCCTGGATAATAGTTTTTGCCTGTCCCAACATTGTGGCTGCATTCAATTTTGCTCGATACTGACTTGCCATGAGTGATGCAGCAGTCTCCCAAATCCTCAACCTGAAACTTGTGAATTCTAGGCAGGTTATAAATGAAATATAACAAACTTAACCTTTCAGGTATCGGTACCATATCCCATTTCTTCTGGGCTTCGCAAGCAGTTTCTATTGCTTTATTCAGAAGATCTCGGTCTGCATAATAAAACTTAGCAATCTGTTTCTTATGATTGTGCGGCATAACCTGAAATAATCAAAACTATCTTGACCTTGTGAATAATATTTCGATTTATTTTATAAACGTATGGAGATAATTCATAAATTTATATAGATGTTTACCTCAAGATTGTTTTTTTAAGTGGAATTTGGCACCTCTAAGACTAGTAATCTGCTGATGATGCTAATTTGGTTAGCAAAACGCGCATCGAGAGACAACAATTTTGTTCTGGCGAATAAAAAGTGTTTTCAATAGAAAGAATAAGTTGATTCTTGAAATTGACGTTTTAGCATATCTGTTCATCCAAAACAATTACTGTTCCTAAACACCAGAACTGCGAAGCTATTCTCGACGCGCGTTTCACCAACCAAGTTTGCGTCTTCAGGAGATGAATTCTCAATTGAGTTGACTGGAATATGGTCTCCAATAAATACCAAAAATCAATCATGAATGAACTATTTCTATATCATGAAGAACCTAAAGAAGCTAAGAAAAATGCTAACATAAGCTATTCGGGAAAATACGTCATTTACTAGTAAGAATAATTTAGGGAATATGTTATTCAACGCAAAATCCAAAAGGGATAAGTGGAAAAAATGGGGCGAGTGTTCAGCAGCTTAATACAATCAGAAATTTAAACATAAGGTACCGGGAACATGTGTTATCAGACACATGTGATTCTCTAAGGTAGCTCACCCCTATAATTTTTTTACTATTGGAGATAGAAAAACGAAATTTAGGAGTTGTGTATTACAGTTCAATTTACATTTCTTGACATATTTACTTGCTTTGCCGTACTTCCGGTTCATTTTCGATTTTTATATGGGACATTCTATATATTTTTACTTATTTCGATCGTGAATGACATTCTAAATCCAGCAATACTTCAATTGTCAATATTTGACAAATAAAATAATTCTTGTTTTTATTTTTTGATCTAGAATGCCATGGATCGTGTAAATCGCTTCATTCTAGATCAAGTAACATGGGAAAAATATGACTTTGTGGCTTATGACTGACATCACAGTCGTTTTAAAAATTATTTCACAGTCGCAAATATGAATTTTTCCAGTTAACTTGAATTTTTCAAATGGAAAGGCGGTGGCTCGTCGGCTTTTTGTGAAATATCATTTTCTTATGAATAATATAAATAATAAAGTGAAAGTGTGTGGCACACACTTTCACTTTATTTTCTCTATTTTTCTGAATAATTGCAAGAAAGGATCATACGTTGTGGAATTGGCCGTGGTGGTAGTGTGCCCGACTCACGATCGGAAGGCCGTGGGTTCGAATCCCGCCTCAACCAGATATTTTTCTCGAGAGAATTTATCTGGTTGAAGCTGGGATGATTCTGCAACCGTATTAGGAATCATACGTAAAAAGGTAAGACCTCGTTAGTCCTTAGCTAGCACAAGTTTCTCAACTTCTGAGAGTTGTCGTTCGTATGAGGGCGACATCAGATTAACGGAAAACATATTTTAAACAGACAGACAGACAGAAATAACAAATAATACGTATTCAGTATACTTATGCACTAAGTCCTGTTATTCTAGTTATCTGTGACAAACAATTGAAGCTGTTGCTAGGAATACCTAAATAAATATGCTAATGAATATGCTGTCACGTTTAAAAATTTATTTGTTGTGTAGTTTATAGTTAGATATGGCAAATTATACTAGAAACGAGAAAATTGACATGTTGCTAATTTACGGAGAAACAAAAAAGAATGCAACTGATACAACTCAAATTTATGCTCAGACTGGAAAGAAGAATGCGAAATGAACCAGAAGAAAATGCCAATAACTTCATCGTCAGTAAAGAAAATGAAGTAGACGTGTTGGCCTATGTTGAAGTGAATTGTACGGCATCAATTCGCCAAAATGTTTCTAAGTTATTCTTCACAAATATAATTATGAATCATTCAAGTACCAAGTACACCAACATCTTTACGATAACGATCACAACCGAAGATTGATTTATTCAACTGGTTTTTGACTAGATACAGAGAAGATGCATGTTTTCCATTTAAAATTATTTATTCAGATGAAACCCTATTCACCAACTTGGGTATGTTCACTAGGAATAATAAAAGTTACTGGTCTCGAACAAATTTACATCTGATGCAAAAAGGGAATTTTCAAGAGCGATTTGGTTTCAATTGTTGGGTGGGTATTATCGGAGGAAAACTTTTGTGGTCAATAATTTTTGACGGACAACTGACTGCGGAAAGATATTTACAGTTCCCTAGAAATCAAATTGATTTCATTGAAGATTTGCCACTGGCTAACCAAGTTGATATCTATTTTCAACAAAATGGAGCGCCACCTCACAATTCTCAAGTCGTAAGAGAATATCTGAATGACACCTTCCCAGAAAAGTGGATTGGCACTTATGGATCTATTCAGTGGCCCGCGAGGTACATTCTTCAGTTGTCATATTTTTACATTTTTTTTATTCATATTCTAGGTTACCAGATTTTACTCCGTTAGATTTTTTTTCTGGGGAACAATTAAAAATCAGGTTAACAATACATCAGCTACTCGTGAAGAACGAGAGCATAAAGTAAGGGTCGCATTCCAGAACATCACTGAGGAACAGCTAATCAATCTAATGCGCGCAAAAATTGAAAAAGTTGAACTTTGCCGTGATCAAAGAGGGGACCATTTTGAAAATTTATAACCTTAATGGACTAATTTACTTTCTTGCAATTATTCAGAAAAATAGAGAAAATAAAGTGAAAGTGTGTGGTATCAAATTATTCCTAAGAAAATGATCTTTCACAAAAAGCCGACGAGCCACCCCCTTTTCATTCAAGTTAACTGGAAAAATTCATATTTGCGACTGTGAAATAATTCTTAAAACGACTGTGAAGTCATAAGCTTCAAAGTCGTAGTTTTCCCATGTTACTTGATCAAGAATGAAGCGATTTACACGATCCATGGCATTCTAGATGAAAAAATAAAAATTGGAATAAGAATGATTTTTTTGTCAAATATTGACAAGTGAAGTATTGTTGGATTTAGAATGTCATTCTCGATCGAAATAAGTAAAAATATACATTGGATGTCCTATTTAAAAATCGAAAGTTGGGGTCATTTCCGGTCAAATCGGAAGAATGGCAAATCAAGTAAATATGACAAAAAAATGTAAATTGAACTATAATACACAACCCTCAAATTTCGTTTATTTATCTCCATTAATAAAATAGTTATAGGGGTGAGCCACCGTAGAGAATCACCCGATAGATGTCTACCTCTTTTGTATTTGAATCAAGATTGTTTGTTTCAGATTCCAATTTATTTAGGCATAATATTTTGGTAAGTGGAATTTGGCACATCTAAGACTAGTAATCTGCTGATGATGCTTATTTGGTTAGCAATGGTTAGCAAAACGTGCATCTGGTGAAGAAAAAGTGTTTTCAATAGAAAGAATAAGTTGCTTCTTAAAATTGGCGTTTTAGCATATTTGTTCATCCAAAACAATTACTGTTCCTAAACACCAGCACTGCGATACTCTTCTCGACGCGCGTTTCACAAACCAAATTTTCAACTTCAGGAGATGAAACCTTAATTGAGTTGACTGGAATATGGTCTCCAATAAATACCAAAAATTGATCATAAATGAATTATTTATATATCATGAAGAGCCTAAAGAAGCTAAGAAAAATGCTAGCATAAGCTGTTCGGGCAAGTTCTCCGAAAACATAAAAAACTGTTTTTCAAAATTTGGCTTAATTACGTCATTTACTAATAAGAATAATTTAGGGAACATGTTATTCAACGCAATACCCAAAGAATAAGTGGAAAAAATCAGGCATATATAGACTAGGATGTGGCGACTGTTCAGCAGCCTATACAGGCAGAAATTTCAACATAACACAATAATGTGTTATCGGACAAAAATCAGCTATATATGGACATCTACAAGAAACAAACCAGAAGCGAGATGAATTTGTTGGAAGCATTGGAAATGAATAAATTCAATAAAAACCCCAATTTCAAAACCCTTAATGATCAACTAATGATTTGTTTGTTCAAATTGCGTCACTTTACTTGGGAATGGTTTAATAAACCAAAACTGGTCATAACAAATAAAAATCTTAGTAGAAATTAGACAAAAGTTATTTTCTCTATACTACATTTGAATCAAACACCTTTTATTTTTACTTTACAATTTGAATTGGCTTTAAATCAAAGATTCAGTTTAGACCATTCCTGAATTTTGAACTGTGGAAAGTGAAAGATATAGAATATGGTTAGAGAATTTATTCATTTTTCACAATTTTCAGATCAACTTGTTACTCGTACCTGATATCGGACATCTTTGGTTCTGAATTCTTTGTCACCTATGATGATAGGTACATCCTCAGTTTTTGCTGCTGTTTCTTTAAGTTCTTTCTCAAGTTCCACACGTTCTTTAGATCCTTTCAAGTATTCATAAACAGGTTCATTTTTCACCCCAAAATCGTTTATCTTCAACTCCGGGACAACAGAACCTAGACATCTTACACTTGCTCTGAAATTGATTAGTTAAATATAAAAACTATTATTATCCATCATATACATACATGATATCGAATGAATACAGTTTAGTACTTAAAATTCAATATAAAACTGCTATACTATACCTATATCTCTTATTAACCTATTTGGTGAATATTACTGGAGTTTTTTTTTCCTAACATCAAACCGTTATTTTAATACCTCAATATGTGTTTCGATTTTTTGGTTTAATCACCAAGTGTTCATCTTCAAGAGGAAGATTAAACTAAGTAAACTAAGTTTTGTAGTTAATCTTCCTCTTGAAGATGATCACCTGGTGATTAAACTAAAAAATCGAAACACGTGTCGAGAACAGAACAGATTAAACTAAAAAACTCTTTTAGTTTAATCTTCCTCTTGAAGATGATCACTTGGTGATCGAAATACGTGTCGAGGTGTTAAAATAACGGTTTGGTGTTGGGAAAAAACTTCAGTAATATTCATTAGTACACTATAGGTTCCAAACAGTGCATCACAAGAACCTATTTGGTGTTGGAAGGGAAGACATAATTGAATATAAGGAATAATTTATCAATTCAGGAATGATTCTAAATGACACCAGTACCAAAGCGTTACATCACTATCCAAAATCAGAAAGCGATCTGCTCTAGATCCATTAACGGTACCAGAACTGATTATTATTGTATTGATTGAACTATTCTGTCTTCAACAAGAAACAACCCTTGTGAGAAATGGCTGTGGCGATCCCCCTATACTTCATCAAATGTCCAACAACTGAATTTTGGTTAATTTCTTGGAATCATTATTGACCATAAGATGGCATGGGAGGAACACATCAAATTAGGCTCTGTGTGATTTCTAATTAGGCAGCTACAAAGAACAGTATCTTTGAAAGTATTAAAACTGCCCTGTTATGGACATATCAATAAAATATTTCTCATTGGATTGATAATTATTAAATCCATGGTGGGAGATCATTCGAACACTTCATGTAAATAGTTATTTTCCCAGTTACAATTTCTTATACTGCCTTCATTTTATGATGACGCAAATTACTATAAATATTTTAAAAAACTGTAAAATTCACATCAACGTTTCTACAGACTAACAATTATTGGTTTTTTAGCTTGTAGGTTTTATTATTGTCGTAAATAATAGTCAACTGAGCGAACATTTTTTGTTTTTGGTGGAAACAAGGAGTGTAGATTATGTCGGGATGAAAAAGCTTGAGAAAAGGTTCGAGGCTTTGCAAGCGAGCCTGGCGGAGAATGAAAAACGCAGAAATGAAGAAGATTAACGAAGGAGAGAAGAAGAACGATTACGCCGAAATGAAGACCCGTGAATTATTACTGAATATACAGAGACTTGCTGGTGAATATTCAGGACAAACAAGGAAAGATACATAGAGGACGATCGTAAATTATTGGTAAATATCCAGGAAAAACAAGAAAAAGACAATCAGATGTACCATCATTTATTGGAAGATTTAAAATATTCCCAAGTGAGTTAAGGGGAGGTACAAGGATTTATTCAGGTGGGTAAGACTCGCCTATCCAGAAGAACCAGATAACTTCATCCAGTGGATTAGTGACCATAGTTTCATCGATGGGGTTCGTGACACAGAGCTGCAGCAGTCGCTGAGGATAGCATGTCATAAACAATTGAATGAAGCCATCATTTATGCCTAAGAATTTGAAGCTGGCAAAAATGCTTCGCGACAACAACGAAAAGTTTTAATGAGGGCCATCAACGAAAAGGAAGACGAAGGAACAGATCGACTTATGGTAGGTCTAGAGGAACTATTTAAGAAATATTTGATGAAATGGACTGCACCCCAAGGCAAGAGGGCGGCCTACATGCTATAACTACAGCAGAGAAGGCTATTTAAAAGGGCACTGTCGATAACGTTCAACATCTGACGAAAGAAGAGATTGGCTTTCGGGATCACTCTTACTAGACCGTTAGGGTTTGGAAAACAAAATTCAGCTAGTACTTTGGCTGCTGCATCCCAAGCCCCCAGGTATTTCATTTCCACGATAGAACGCAAAAGTAACAGCAAAGTTGTCGACGGATTTCTGAATAATCACCAGTACCTTTTCATCGTCTATACTGGAGCAACTAGATCAGTAATGAGATCCAACAGAAGTAGTTTGAAGAAGTTATCAGTAGTACCCGTTCTGGAAATATCCACTGGAGATGAATTGACAGTCGATGAAGGAGATAAGTGAGACTCAGGCTTGGAAATTGCGAAATAGAAACTGAGGTATTAGTAGCCAACATCGTTGATGAATTCATTTTGCGACTAGACATCATGTCCCCCTACGGATTGTTGGTGGACATAATGAATAAACTGTCAAAGGTTGGAAATGGAAAAATCCTTCTCGACATGCCCTCTCAGCTTCATGGCAGCTCCAAGGTGGTTATACTGAAAGATTCCAGGACCTCTCTCAACACCGAGAAAATCATTGATGGAGCCATCCAACGGTTCTGAAGTAGGAATTTTCGTGGCCAGATCTCTCGTACATGGTAACAATCAGACTATTCTAGTAAGAATAAACAACCCTAATAATGACAGTGTGAGTCTCAAGAAAAGTAATAGGCACCTGCGAACCGATTGTGAGAATTGCCAGAATCGAGGAAGAAGTCCATCTACAGCGTGTTCAACAACCCGCAAAGAAACTCATCGACTCTTTCAAGAAGAAGTGGAGCCATTTGTCTGAAGAAGAACTATACAAGGCCTACCGATTTGTTGAGGAAAAAAACGATATGTTTGTGAAGGGCAAAATCATTGGTCGAACGGATTTAGTTCAACATCGCATTGATACTGGCGATGCCAAACCCATACGCCAATCACCGAGACGACTTTCCTTCGCAAAGCAGGACGAAGCTTCATCCATTGTTAAGGACATGTTGGAGGAAAGAGTATTCGAGAAATCAAACAGCCCCTGGTTGTCACCTGTTGTGTTGGTGACTAAGAAAGATGGATCGACGAGATTTTGCGTAAACTACAGGAGGCTTAATGATGTCATCAGAAAGGACAGTTACCCTCTTCCCAGAATAGATGACATACTGAACGTCTTGGCTGAATGCAGATGGTTCTCAACACTAGATCTGAATAGCGAATATTGACAAGTGGCCGTTCGTCCCGAGAATAAAGAGAAGACTGCCTTTTCCGCCGGCAATGGATTATACCAGTTTGAATTTATGCCGATTGGATTATGCAATGCACCAGCAACATTTGAACGCTTGATGAAGTTGGTGTTGAGAGGACTCACCTGGAAAACATGCCTGGTCACCGGAAAAAAGAGTTGGCGAACATCTATTGATCTTGGGGAATGTTCTCACAAGGCTCCCGAATGTTCATTTGCAGATCATCCCCGAGAAGTGCTGCCTCTTCCAGGAAAAGGTGAATTTCTTGGGACACGTTGTGTCGTCAAAAGGAGTTGAAATAGATCCAGAGAAAATCAAGTCAGTGTAAGAATGGAAAACACTGAAGAATAAGCACGACGTGAGCTTCCTTGGACTCTGTAGCTATTATAGGGGTTTCGTGAAAAACTTTGGGAAAATTGCCAGACCGCTGCAGAGCTTGACTAAAACGAGAACCCCCTTCGTTTGGTTCCCAGACTGCCAGGAAGCATTTGCTGCCCTGAAGGGACATTTGACCAGCGCACCGATTCTGGCATAACCAAAGGAAGAGGACTTATTTATACTCGACACGGATGCATTCCAACATGGAATAGGAACAGTACTTTCTCAGGTACAAGAAGAAGAAATCGTTATTAGCTAATTTATAAGTCCCTGGGAACATGCAAAAGAAATTATTGGGTCACTAGAAAAGAACTCCTTGCAGTGGTTAAAGCGGTGGATAACTACCACTTTTTTTATATGGCCGTAAATTTTTGATCAGGTCAGACCACTCAGCACTTCGGTGGCTCTACAATTTCAAAACCCCAGAAGGATAAATAGCCAGGTGGATCGGAAAGTTACAAACTTACGATTCTGAAATTCAAAATCGGAAAGAGTCACGGAAACGCAGATAGCCTCTCAAGAAGACCATGTCCGACATCCGGATGCCCAGTTACCAGAAGAAGAACTTTCCATCAGACGTGACAAGATAGCGGGCAGAGATTCATGGACAGCTCTGATAGGGAGATAAGCTCCCCTTCCTCCTACTGCTTCTTGTTCCCTCTGCCACGGAGGATAGCAACCTGTAAGGTTTCCTTCCCTACGGAAAGAAAATCTGAGGAATCACCTGGCCATGGTGCTGTACGGTCATTAACAGCCTCTGAGGGTGACACTACCTTCGTGACGAGGCAAGAGATCATGGTAGCGCTGGAGGATCCGGTCATGAAAACTCCACGAGAATGGATTGGCAAATAAGTGAGGCCGGAATGGCAAGATATTTCCAAGCACGGCCAGCAGGAAAAGGGTTACTGGCTCCTATGTGCATTCGAGATGACCTACTTACTCGGAATTGTGAAAATCCGGATGGAAGAACACACAAATTCTAAGTAATGCTTCTGAAAACGTGTATACCGAATATTCTTGAACAACTCCACGATGGTCGCGAGGCCATTTTGGAGTAAATAGAACTTTAGCGAGAGTGCGTGAGAATTACTATTCAGGCAATTGCCGTCGAGAGGGTGGTGTAAGCGCTGTGACCTGTGCTATTCAAGAGTCTGAAGATAAGGCAAAAAGGAAAGTTGGTGCAGTACCTCAATGGGTGTCTTTTCGAGAGAATCGCAGTTGACATTCTGGGATCACTCCCTATGACTACATCCGGTAACAAGTACCTAATGATTGTGATGGACTATTTCTCCAAATGACCTGAAGTAGTAGCCTTACCCAACCAATAGGTTAAAACGGTGGCAGATGCCATGTTGCAGAACGTAATTGCCAGACATGAAGTACCCCAGGAACTACACCCGGATCAGGGCCGCAACTTCGAATCGGATTTATGGAAGGAAATTAAGACTTTGTTGGGAATAAAGAAGACAAGAACAACTGTTCTAC